CCACCCCCTCTGGTTTCATAGCTTCATAGTATGTGAAGGGGATGGAATGGACCTCAGAGATCACCCAGCCCCAACCCCTGCCCTGGGCAGGGACACCTCCCACCAGAGCAGGTTGCTCAAGGCTTTAGCCAACCTGGCTGTGAACACTGCCAGGCTTGGGGCAGCCACAGCCTCCCTGGGCACCCTGGGACAGTGTCTCACCACCCTGATTTGGACTGATGCAAACCAGTAGCCATCTGGTTTCGTCAGAGCCACAGCAAATTTGGGTCAAGACCTGCTAGGCTGCTCTGGCCCAAGGCTCATCACCTCTGCAGCACCAACCACACCTGATATTTGCTGGGATCTCTCCATCTCTCTTGCTTCCAGAGCCTTTCCCACGCAGCTTGCCCAGGCACAGCAGGCAGCCCAGCACCACAGCCCACAGCCCCACGCTCCAGCAGCAGTGACTGCCCTGCCAGTAACCCCACTGAGAAAATAGAAACTCCCTGATAAAACAGTAACAGGAAAAAAACCCACACAGCTCCCTCCCTTTCCTCAGCAAGGAATCCTTGTGACTGCATCCCAGCTCACCAGGATGCATCATTGCTTCCCCACACAGGAGTTTATCAAAGGCTCTGCTTGTCCTTTTCAATGTCACTGCCCCATGCCCTGGGTACCTTTTCTTCTCACAGCTCCAGGACATGGAAATAAAGTCTAATGCCTTATCTCAGTGTGGAGTCTCTGACATCTAAGCTGGGAGAAAGAGACTATGAGTACATCCAAAATTCCCTGACCTCTGGTGAGTGTTTCTTATAGATTTCTTCTATGCTTAAGTTCTCTGCAACCTTTTTACACTTCCCTTTCACAACATTTCAACCCTTTTCCCTGTCCTTCTACTAGGCCTGTCCCAAGGGACACCCACTCCTATGCTAAAAACATGCCCCAGACAAGATGGAAAGTCTTTGGAAAGTACCAGAAAGCTACATAAGTCAGGAAGGACCCTGGCAACAGCCTTGCAGCCAGAATGAACACTGAACACGGGTGAGTGCTCTCCGTGGGAACCTTCCCAGACCTTTAGCCTGCATGAATAAGCGAGCAGTGAACAGAGGCAGGAAGAGAACAGGAGATGCATCACCACCTCGGCATCAGCTCCCTCGACACATCTATGTCCTGTCACCTGCAGCAGAGTCCAACCCTCCCTTCTTTTCTAATTCCTCAAAATATCATAATGATCAGGGTGGAAAAAAAAAATCTGAGTGATCCCAAAGGGACAATTCCTCCATCCTCTGCCAGCAAGTCATACCCCATCACCAGATAACACAGAACCACTGAGGTTGGAAAAGGCCTCTGAGATAATCAAGTCCAACCTATGACCTAACACCACCATGTCAACCAGACCATGGCACTAAGTGCCACGTCCAGTCTGTCCTTAAACACCTCCAGGGCTGGTGACTCTATCCCTGGACAGCACATTCCAATGCTTAACAATCCCTTCAGTGAAGAAATTCTGTCCTGTTCCAAAGGGAAACCAAGAGACAAGAACTCTACACTGCCATCATCCCTGCTGTGACCTCCCAGAACACGGTCAGTGTGCTCTGAGCCAAGCAACAGAGGAGAGGTAAATGTACCTCCCCAGTCACCTGCAAAAATCCAGAGTGAGACACTGAAGAGTTGCGTAGCAATAGTCACACAACATTTCCAAGCCATGAAGTTCTCAGGCCTCACATCAGGAGGAATCACAAGTTGTAACCAACAACACATGCTCTCCCTCACGCTTTTCTCACTCCATGTACACCCTGCAGGACTTGCAATCCTCCTCAGCTCCTGCTGCTGTTCAATTCCACACCCGCTGCCCCAGCAAGGCAAGTGGAACACAAACAACTCTAATTTTGTTGAAAACAGAAGGTAAACAAAGCCTTACACATAACTCAGCCCTCCTTAAAATGCTCAGAGGTAGCAGCTGGCCTGTCCTGCTGATGTACAATCCCTCTGCAGTTCTTCATTACCACTCCCTAATTTGTCCAAGACATTCTGCCACACACATACACACATGCCCTCCAGAGGAGCCACCAGAGATATCTTTTGGGGTGCAGAAGCTACCACCAAAGAAGAAGTTCTTTGATCAGTTGTGCAATGTGAAGTTCTGAGAGATACAAAAGCTGTTACACCATTTCCTTTCCTTGGAGTCAAGGGACCCTAAAGATAACAAAGGTCAAACCAAAATGTACAATCCTCAGAACACAAAGTGCAGCAGAAGTGGAGGAAGTTGGGGCAGTGTCTGTCTAAAGACAAAGGTCGAACCAAAATGTACAATCCTCAGAAAACAAAGTGCAGCTGAAGTGGAGGAAGTTGGGGCAGTGTCTGCACACCTGGCAGACAGGGGATGGGTCTCCTGGGGCATCACAGAGCTCCACCCTTCTGCCAAGGAGCAGAATCAGCAGGTAAAGCAACATAAGAACTGACAGTCTAAAGATTCATACCCACCTCAGTTTCTGCAGGGGGACTGCCCTCTGCAAGGAGAGAGGAGGATTCTAGCTCGTGGGTCTGCTGAAGAGGAGGATCCTGCCCCTCCTTTCTCCATTTAGGTCTTCTCTGTCTCAGTGATGCTTCTACCACCTTCCTGCTCCTCAAAATCCACAACTCTTTTTCCTCACTGCATTCCTCTGTGACTTTAAACCTCTCCCAAACCATTATTTTCTGGACTGAATCAAGGCCTTCCTCCTTCCAGTCACATTCAGGTGAGCCTTCATCCCAGCTGAGACTGCAAGGAGCATCCAGGTACACAGTTTGGGGTTACGACAGCAGAAACAGGCCTGTCCCACCAGGCACAGACACCCATGGGGAAAACCCAGAGGGCTGTGCACAGACACATACAGGCCCTGAGGACCTGATTCTTGACTGCACTGAGCTTTCTGGACCTCAGCCACCAACACATGCAAGTAGGGACTGAACCACAGGATGCTGGTGGGCTCATACAGCCACAACACTGCCTCTCCCTGCTCACACTGCTCTGTCTGCTCCCTGCAGCCCAGCTGAGTTGTTGGGGCAGATACAGGTACCTCTGGATAGGTGATACATCTTTAACTTATGTAGAAGAAAGCCTTCCTCTGTTTCACTGGAGTCACTGGATGAGAGCTAATCCTACAGCCCGAGAGCTCTGCCAAGCCAAAGGTGAAATGTTCAGAAACTTGTGCAAGTGATTCTGAGACTGACAGAATTTCTGCAGGAGGAAAAGACATGACCTCCCTGCAATTGGACTCCTGGGATGAACAAAAGGGAGCCAAATGTTCTACTCTCAACATTTTTTTATAGGATAGCAACCTTCCTACCATGGTTATTTATAAAGAAGTGTTACAGTGTTAAATGATACACTGCAGAATTTCAAACGATGACTTAAATTGACGAGCCCTTCTTTTCCCCCTCTTGAACATACATTTAGAGCGATTTCTAGGGAACTGTAATTATTTCCAAGTGAGTACTTAAGGATCCCAGAAGTGCTGTGGTATTTCCATGTGTTCCTCTCCCTCTTTGATTCTTAATCTGTGGCAACCAAATTCACTTGGCTTCAAAGATGAGCTCGAGCTTGACACCCCAAGGGGCAGTGGGTGTGAGAAGGCTACCCCAGAGAGCTTATGGATGTGTTACAAACACAAAGGGCTGAACAGATCTCCAACTTCCCCTTGTCTCCATCAGAGATTCTCTGTCTGGCCTGAATGTGACCCCACAGGTAGTATGAAGTGAGCAGGAGCCAACATTTCTCCCTGTCAGAAATGGGTGGGAACTTCAGGAAAGGAGACTCCAGCTAACAGAAGCAGCTGCAGAAATGGCCAGGATGGGAGGATGGCTGTGCCATTCTGGGAAGCTCCTACCAGCCTGTCTGCATGGTCTGTCCAACCACCCTTCCCTCTGCCTCACAGACATCTATCTCACTGCACTAAACCCCAGCCTTACTCTGCTCCTCCCTTCCCACCACCATGGACCAAATATTGCAAATAAAGTGTAACTGGCTTCCTCATGCCCGAAAAAATCCAAGAAAGCTGCAGTACATTGTTTTAGAACCTTTCCATTCACAACATTAGCACAACTCAGCCAAGGACAACTTGAAGGGCATTAGAACAGAGCCAAGAAAAAGCTTGGCTGCCCAAGACTACTGTGACTGGGCTTGCTCTTTCAGCAAGAGGTTTAAACACACACAGAGTTTACCTAAAGTGCTAACATCACTCTACATTACAGTCTGTTTAATAAATTCATCCCCTGCAAAACAGTCCAACATTACAGAACAATTTGCTACTTGCTCACACAGGATTTTCTCTGGATTCCACAGGATTTTCTGTAGGTTTTGTAGTGAATTTATTGTCTGCAAAGTACTTTCATGCCTTACAGAGAAGACACAGCCCTGTTATAGAAGTCAGGTGAGTTTCTCTTCTGCTCTCTTGCCCTCCAAGCAGAATTTTACATAAGCTGCTGGGGACAATATCTGCATCTAAAATAGCACCACACTACCTAACACATGTTGGTGTCCTCGACTAGACAAGACACATCTCAATTTTAACCCTGTTGAAGCAAATCCTGGGAGCAAATCCAGATGTTACCTTTGCCAGCAAGGACAAATTACTGCACAAACACTAAGCATGTCAGTGAACACTCTGTAACTCACCTTTTTTTCATTCTCCAGTGAAAAGAAGACCTAGGTATGACAAACCAGTGCATAAGCCTCATGCAGTGCTGTCACTTCCCAGCTGAAGCTTCTTCCAAGGACATCAGCTCCAGGGGTGAATTTATGACAGGGCACTTGGCCACTAACTGAACTCATCCCACAGCCCACCCAACCCCTAAGGCACCAAACTGCCTTTTCTTCTCAAGGGAGAGAAGATTCACAGATCTACAGGGTGACTCCTCCTGCCTCTCTGCTGCTGTGACCTCACACCAACCCTTCATGACAAATAAATGCACTTTCATTTTAAGGCTATTAATAGGTGCATGGACACATGGACATCAACAAGGCACATCAGTTCTCTTACCTGAGCCGTTCCTGCCTTCAGGATGGTTTTGTGAAAGGTATTCTCCAAAAGCCCTTGCAGCTCTAAGCATCCAAAGGAAGCAATGGAGAGAAAGAAAGAGAAGCATAAAGGTTAGAGGCCAAGGAAAGAAAGAACAGCTCAACACCAACACAGCTGTGCTTCTGCAGCTGCCATTCCCCAGCCTCAGGTGACACCAATGCTAACATGCTGCCAGAGCAGTGAGGGCTTCTTGGTTACACACCCCACAGTGCTCCCCTGGCCAAGGGGGAGACAGAGCTGGGACAGAAGTCTAGGACTAGTTTAGGCTTTGGCTTCTCTGTTCCAACTGAAAAAAAAATATTTAAATGCACCTGCATTAAATCTGTGATACACAGGAACTGGGTCCAGCCCTGCTAAGTTAGGCAACCCAGGGAAGGAGGTGTCTCCAGCTCAGTGCCAACCACCACCCCAAGCCTCCTACTTGGGTCCTGACTGCTCCCACCTGTGAGCTATCACAGCTGAGATGGGAATGCTAATGCTCATTTAACCCTTAGTTCTCAAGCACCAGCTATGTCAGTATTTGGATTACTGGAGAAGCTTATTTAAGAGACCCCCCCCAGTATCCCCCACAAGCTGCTCCTGGTTCTCTGATGGATTCAGGTCCCATGGATGACTGAGATTTTATATTAAGAACCAACCAAGCAGGTTGAGCTCAACCCTTATCCCACATCAAGGCCTACGTAAGAGAGCAAACCTATGAATATTCCAACCAAGGAACAGCTTTCTGCTTGCACCCACACAGGAAAGGAATCCTTGGTCAAGGAATGCATTCCCTAGAATACAGTAATCTCCAGACTCCTATTGCCAGGACATTTTGATGTCCTGCTGCTGTGCTTGTTCTTCTGTACCCAACAGACCTGTGACTCAAGGGAGCTAATACTAACTCCAGCTTTTCCCCAGCCAGATATTTTCTCCAGGTTTGTGGAACAATATCTCCAAGGTGTGCAGGATCCCAAACAGGCCGAGTTGCCAATGGGCAGCCCAGGGTGGAGGCTATCAGAGGGAGGAGAAACAGCCACTGCCCTCCTTGGCAAGCCAAGCCAACAAACCCAGCAGCCAAACCCTCACAACTACATCAGACAAGACTTGCTGCAAGAGGGAGGACTCTCCATACCAAGGCATCACATCCACTGTCCTCCCTCAGAGGTGCTCAACCTCAGAACATCCAAAGTGAAAGAGGAAAATTTAGCTTAGATATCAGGAAGATGTTTTTGCTGTGAGCATGGTGAGACACTGTCCCAGGTTGCCCAGGGACGCTGTGGCTGCCCCAACCCTGGCAGTGTTCACAGCCAAGATGGATAAAGCCTTGAGCAACCTGCTCTGGTGGGAGGTGTCCCTGCCCAGGGCAGGGGTTGGGGCTGGATGATCTCTAAGCTCCATTCCAACCCTTGAACATACTATCAAACTACCCCTCGCCGGCTCAAGCCGCTGGAAAAGGCTTTTAACAGCCTTTAAACAGCTAAGTGGAAAATGGCTTTGAGCTCAAGCCGCTGGAAAAGGCTTGTAACAGCCATTAAACAGCTAAGTGGAAAATGGCTTTGACCTCCACAACAACCTTCTGCTACCCAATGCAGCAACATATCCCAACTTGTACAGCCAGGATTTCCCCCACTGCTCTTATACACCTCCTTCCAAATGGGAAAAGATTAACAAAGTTATAATGCACCTCCCAGAGCAACTCAAGCTGGAAGGAGTGGGAAGTCCATTTGTCATCCCCAGCCAGTAACAGGGGATCGATAGGAACAATGAAGCAAGAGTAATTTAATGTTCCTGGGACTAAATTTCAGCACAGCCATATGCAGAATGCCTTGGAGCAGCACAGCTGGAGCTGTGCAACCAGCAAGGTTTAAGCTTCTGCATCTTTACAGGCTAACAGCCAGTGCTGAGGTTTTCCCTGTTGCCAGATTCCTGCTTGTCTTGTCCCAGGCTGCACCTTTAGACATGAGCTCGGGGTGGCAGTTGCCCAAACTCTCTTCCTCAATGCCTAAGCACCCCCAGAGGTGCTCACATGGAGGCTCTGTCACATAGGGAACTGTGCAATCAGCCCTCAATCCCCATTACCAAGAACAAAGGGATGACCATCATGGTTTACCCATCCAGTTCTTTCCACCCTCTATCTTTCTGTCTGGGCAAAAAGCAGGACTTGATCCTGAGGCAACACACAAATGCAAAGTTGGGAGTTGGAGTGTGGCTACTTCAGGGAAGTGTCTGAGTCACCATCCCTGGAGGGATATAAAAGATGCGTAGATGTGGCTCTTGGGGACATGGGTTAGTGATGGACAAGGCAGTGTTTGGTCTGTGGTTGGACTCATTGATACTAGAGTTTCCTACATAAACAATTCTATATTCTAACATCAGGCTAAGCAGCTGCAAGAGAATTCCTGAGCTACTACTGAATTCCATCTCAGAGGTGGTTAAAGCTGATCTCACGTAGCACCAGCCACAGCCCAGCTTTGAGCAGATGGCTGGACTCAAGGCTTCCAAGATCTCTTCCACCAAGACTTGTGGGACAACAAGGCTTCCCATGGAAATGTCCTTGCAAGGCATCACTGACACAATTCACAAACACAGCACTTACATCCTCCAGAAAGACTTGAAAGCTTATCTTGCACATCAGCAGTCATTTGGTGTAGAAAAAATAACAAGCAAGTTCTCAGGTAAATTATCAGTAAGAGAAGATGGTGATTTACATGACAAATGCTGAAATAGGATGATAAAATTGAGTCTGCAACTAGATCAAAAGCTCTAAGAGCATATTTGTTAGTTCATCTATCATTCTCTCCATTCATCTCTTTGCCAATGCCCAAAGCTGATCCATCTGAAAATCTGAACCAAAGCTTCACCCTTAGCTTGCAAAACACATGCTCAAAGAACTTGTACCAAGCACTTCCTAAGACCCAAACTGACAACTGGCTAACACAGAGCCAGAGAGCAGCACTGCACCTTGTTCCATGGTGGAAATAGAGCCACTCAGCTGAAGAGCCCAAGGTGCTGCGGTGTCTCTAACCTCACTCTCCTGTTTCCCCAGGCAGATGGGGTAAGAGGGTACAATCCCAAGTGCCAGAGCTCCCAGAGAGCAGGTGACACCCAGACCCTTCCAGGCAGGTCAGCAGCACAGTGGAGGAGCACAGAGCTGCTCAAAAGTGTTGCTGCCCTGGCCAGGCTGAACCTGCAGTTCTGTCACTGCCATTCCACCCCCACAGCTCTCAGACCCCTCAGCCAACACAACAGCAAACCAATGTGGACATGGGGGCCCAGCTCTCCAGTGACAGCCAACACAGCAGTGACACCTGCACAGTACCAGTGTGCAGTGGGGGTTTTCCACCCAATTACACTGCAAACTTCAGGCTAATTGTTTTGCCTATTATCTCAGTGGTTCCTACCTACATTCCTGTTTTCCAAGTGCCATCAGCTTTTCCTTGGCTGTGCCCCAGCTGATCTCCCACAGACACCTGCACGTGCCCTTTGCCAAGGGGACTCTGATGGCCACACTAGCTCCTTATGCCTAGTATCCCCTTGCCAAGCCTTTTGTGATGCTTCTCTGCCCTCACTGTGCTCAGTCAGCCCAGTTTACCAGCACCTGCCCATATCCTTAGTGTGCCATTTCCCTCTTCTCCTTGGCTACCCACCTGCTTGATAAAAGCCAGAGGAAATTCCAACAGATAGAAGCTTCTCAAGTCATCCCATTGTTTTCTCTCTTTAATCAACACACATTATTAACACATGTGGCACAGACTTTTCTCTCAGCAGAGTTCAGGCCCCATTGTGCCTCTGGATGGCACTGGACACAAACCCTTTCAACTGGGCTCTGAGCAGAGACACCTTGGGATAATTTAACTGGCAAGAGATGAGAAAAGAGAACTTGTTTCACATAAATGAGATGAAGTACAAGGTGCCTTACAGCTCCACAGGCCGATGAGTTATAACCCTGAGCGTATGACACTGCAAAAGCTGCATACAAATGAGCAGGTAGTACTGAGGTGATCAGCTGATGACATGACAAGTTTAGCCCTGACTCATCTGGGGAGAGGTTTTCATTCCAGTGGCAGATCAGACCTGGATGTTAGAGTCAGCAAGGCTTGATTTAACAGAAGGACATCAACCAGGGAGCACAGCTTTAGCTCATTGTGCTGCTGAGTCTGACCAGCACAGACAAACCTGTGCCCCAGAAAACAGCAGCATCTCCTCCAGCATTCCATCAGGAGCGTGGAGGGCAGAATGGGGCAGGCAGCTGCCCTTCTGGGGGTATTTTCACTACTCAGTGTGAATCAGATGTCAAATCTGGACTCAGGTCTGGGAGAGAAACTGCCAAGAAGCATGGAGAGTCTAGACAGAGATTTGCTAGAAGGAGCAAAGCCGCCAAATAACAAAGATCTCAATTACAATGTGATAAGTGTGGAATAGCCTTCATGGCTCTGAAATAATCATATCAAGGGGATAAAAGGGGCCTTGATGTGTACTAGCAGCTCTGAGAAACTGATGCACATAAATTTATGCAATCCACCAAACTGACACCAAACCGAGTGAAGAAATGTGGATTCAAACACTCAGAGATAAAGGGAAGACCTCAGATAACTCCATTTGGAGCACAGCAGCAAGCCAAGCAAAACCTGGACTATTACATGGAAAAATAAAGAACACCCACCACCTGCTCGTGCTCCTTCAGAAGCAAATGCCCAGAGGAGTTGCAGCAGG